CACTCCCCACACGCAAACACACAGTACACCCGTGACTGTTACAATGAAGGCTCGATAATCAGCTCACGGCATATAGGCAGGGGTAAAGTGCTATTTGTTACGAGTGGGGAGTGGACCTCACCTTCTCTAGGGGGGTCCGGGGGGATGCATTGCTCCCCCAGGAAGATGTTTTTTAATATTGAAGTTAAAAGCATCAATCTGGTGCACTTTGAGAGTAACATTAAGAGATATGGATACATCTCTCAACATCCATATGAAACACAACTGTAATCAGATGTTCTTTTTCTTTATGGATATTTTACAAATCACTCCCCTTTCAAACTGTATTCTTGTTTTACTGCCATATAGTATTTCATAACTGTTTTTCCTTTATTCTCTTATTTTTTTTATAACTATAATGATCATATGAAGGTGTGCCGCGGAAATATTCTTTTGAATAATTTGTGACCAAACCGTTTGAGACCCACTCGATAACTTAGACTAAAGTTAACTATCTAAACCTTTTCTATGCAACTCTCTGATTGGTCTGGTGTTTTGCTTCTGTTGCATTCACTGAACACGGGAAATTACAGTCCTGCCGTCCTCTCTAGTGTCATGATAAGGTTCACGTAAAGCACGGTTAATGTAGGCCTATTATATTATTGAGGTACAATTGTCCTGGGCTACAGCAAAAAAAATCGGGGCAGGCCAGGCGACGCCACTGGTGAGCACACACACTACAAACATGTAAAATATTATTTTACCAACAATGTGGAATTTATTGGCTACATATTACACAGATTATGCACAGCGGGAGCTGGGGGTGCTGCAGCGCCCTCAGCACCCCCCTTCCCGCGCCCATGATAGCATGCTTTCATTTTTAAACCAGTCTATAATTAAAACCAAACCACACCCGTTTACAGTAGGACAGGACAGCGTCCACTGCAATGTGGCCTCTTTGGCCCTTTCTCTCTCTACTCTTTACTTTTGTCCTCTCTTTATTTTGTTCAATGTGTCTCTGCACCGTTCTGTGTGTCAGCCACACCCAAAGCTCCCAACAGTCTGCAGTGTGAACAACACACACACACTTCTGAGCTCCAACAGTGACAATTAAAGATGTATTCTCTTAAACACAATCCTTTGTCTGTAGAAAATGTCTTACTAAAATGCAGTGGCGAACCGTGTCTATCACAACTGGACCTTCTGTAGACACACACACCCCCCGCCACGGCATTATAATGTCCGTCTTTTCACTGAATTGTCGTCTTCAAAAGGGTATTCACAACAATTCCGCAACAACTTCATCTTCACCTGTTGCACTTGTCATTTCAACATTAAAAACAATAAAACGGCATGAATTGCTTCGACAATCAAATTCATCTAGAATCTAGATCCTCTGCCTCGAGTCAGTTAACTAGCGGACCTTGTAGAGTACCCTAACCGAGGGAAACTCTGAAAGAATACGCCCATTGGCTACAAATCAATATATGATTGGTTGATCAAACTATCAGGCCAAATGTACGCTCTCATTCAGTGCAAGGGGAAAATTACAAAGTTGTCAGATTGTTGTTATTGTTTGTTTTTCTGTATTTTTTGTAATTTGTGTTGTGATTGTACTTTGTAATTTACTAAATGTGCGTGAATAAAAACATTTGATCAAAAAAAAAAAGTGTTACGACTGGAGCACACAAAAACTGATAGGACCCAAATGCACGACTCCAGACAAAAGACGATTCAAAAAAGGTTTTTACTGCGGTGATAAACAGGTAATCCATTCACAAGGTTCAAAAACGATCTGGCACTGAGCACAGGGAACACACAGAATATATACACAAACAAGGGACTCTACAGGTGCAAACAATAAGGGTGGGGCAGGTAATCAGGTCAGTGAGCATATTGACAAGGTAGGAGTCGAACTACCTGAAAAGAGAAAGGAAATGACAAAGTAAAACAGGAAATAGCAGACAACAAAAAGGGTTAGCAGAAGCGGACTGTCCGCTTCTGCTAACCCTTTTTGTTGTCTGCTATTTCCTGTTTTACTTTGTCATTTCCTTTCTCTTTTCAGGTAGTTCGACTCCTACCTTGTCAATATNGTGTGCCTTGGCAGTCTCAGAGAAATGTCAGCTGAACACGTTATACAAATCGCAATCCGCGCCTCTTTCTCTGATATTTTTAAATATCTCCAAGCGGCAGACATGTGGGCTGTGAGCCAGCCGCGAGCATGGTCGCGCGCCGTGCTTGTCGCCGCG